AAACAAGGTTGCTTCACAAGTCAGTTCCGGGTCCCTCTCCGTTTCCATCCCCTCCTCCCCGTGCCCTCCCCCCAATCTCCCCCAATATCCCTTCATTTCCCCAGGGAGGGTGTGGCCCTCCATGGGGGTGTCCGTAGTTGTCATTTCATCCAGGGCAGGGCCTAGACCCTCCCCCCAAGAGTTCAGGGTGAGAGTGCATCTCACATTGTTGGATGGGAGTCCAAAGTCCATTTGCATACCCGGGATAAACACTGATCTACTGCCCAAGGCTCAATAGCTTACGTAGGCCTCCTCACTGGCACCCACATTCAGGGGGTCTTGATCAGTCCCATGCTGGATTCCCAGGCATCAGCCTGGGATTCAAGAGCTAACCCTTGTCAGGTCAACTGTTTCTGGGGATAAAACCAGCCCAGTCTTAACCCCTTTGGTCATCAGTCCTCCCTCTCTGTTACTGGCTTTGAGTTCATCTCAGTGCTTAGCCGTGGGAGTCTGCCTCTTCTTCCATCAGCCACTGAATGAAGGTTCTGTTTCCCAGACTCTCTGGCCATGGGATTGCAGGCTGGCACTCCCCAGATCTATGTCTAATGGCCATTGTTTATAATCACAAACAACATCCTGGTTCATATTCATTTAAATGTGAACATACACACACTGAATATTCCTAACCAATTGTTAGGAAATCTGGTGACCAGGCCCAGAACATAGGCAGATCAACAAAAGTCTGATGACAGATAACATTGTCACGGCACCAACTGTTGAGGATGCCACCGCCAGCACAGAGCATGTGATCCTGGTGTTCTGGATCCCAAGCTCAGACCAGAAACCCCTCACGGGTACATTCGATTGGTCAAACCTGGTCTCATGTCGGCTGATGTGTAAGAGCAGCCGGGAAAATGAAGACTTGATGTTTCTATAACTGCAGACTCTCTTACCAACACAGGTAAGATGGGTAGTCCCTACCACATGGGGAGGGAATTCAAGTATCACATAGCCAAAGCCGACTATTGTGATGAAGATTCCACTGTAGAAAAATCTGCCAATACAACTTGCCGTATTAATAGGTCAAAAAGAAACACTAAGCAATCCTCTCTGCAACTGTGAAAAGTCATTCCTTTAGAAAAAATAGTAGTCTTTAAAGTATTTCTTAAAACTGTATCATAAAGAATCTGTGAATAAAAAAAAAAAACCAAACACACAGCAAAATTAACCAAATGCAAAGTTTGCACATCCAGTCAACATTTCCATGGTTAGAAGAGCTACTCTGCAACTGTGCTCACACTGGGTTTACACTCACTACCACAGATATTTTTATGCACTTATCCTCTAAGCAAAACCTCCCCTGAAAAATCCCGACAGGGCTGAATCGGCCTCGTAAACTCTGAGGACTCACGTGTCTGCCACTTGCATGGAGTCCTCCCTCACCACCTAATAACCACCTTTTTATTCTCCATCCCACACGGTAAACTGAACCCACGTGTACATTTGGTTACTTACATACATATGCATTACAGGCGTGGATCTGCATATAAGAGAGGATTGCTGCTTTTTCATTCTGAGATCATATGATTAATATTATACATTGTAAGTCCAATAAAATCTTGATTAAAAAATTGTACCTGGGTTAGGATTTTAAGACGCTAGGTAAGGGAAAGCCTAAGAAACCCTGTTACTGTCAGGGGGAAGCAAGCCACTCCCTCAGTGTTCTGCAACATCATACTCAGGTCTTTGTGCAAAAGGAAAGGAGGAAGGAAAGGAAGAGAAAAGGAAGGGAGGGAAGAGGAAGGGAAATGAAAATCTGTGTGAACCACTCACTTCCCACAGAACAGTGGAACACTTGACCACCACAGGGTGATTTATGGCAATACAAAAGTAGTTTCATAAATATTTTTGGTGACCATATCTTATAAAATCACAATGTAGTAATTAAAAACTTATTTTGTTTTTGGTTTTTCGAGATAGGGTTTCTCTGTGTAACAGTCCTGGCAGCCCTGGAACTCACTCTGCAGACCAGGCTGGCCTCGAACTCAGAGATCCAACTGTCTCTGCCTCCTGAGTGCTGGGATTAAAAGGCGTGTGCTACCACTGCCTGGCATAATTAAAAACTTAATGCCTTTCCTCGAAGGAAATTAAAATCCTTGATAGATGATGGAATCTAAGTGAAATTTCAAAAGCCCATGAATAGAAAATAAACCCTTCCCCAGGCAACACTGGGAGCTGGCAGAGACAGGAAGACAGAAAACTCAGCATTCATCATAAAAAAACAAGACAAAACAAAACAACAAAATGAATGGGGATGAGGTGATAACAGTAATTTTGAATTAATGAAATGGAAAACCAAACAACAGAAGTTTCAGGAAATATAATTAAGCTCAAAAGCTGATTGTCTATAAAGATCAACAAAATATATGCACTCATGACCCGGATTAAATTATAAGGAGAGAGGGGGCGAAAATACAGGAGACAGGAAGTGAAAGTTAAGATATAGCTGCAATTGTGGTGAAATTAAAATGATATTAAAAGACTATTTAGGCAGATTTACAGCAAGCCAAGTTTGGGTGTTCTAAGGAAGCAGACAATTTTCTAGCGAATGTTCAGCACCAGCAATCCAAGAAAAATGAAAACCGACAGTTATTACACGAGATGTTCATGTGTTAAGATTTTATGTCTTTATTGCTTTAGGGCTGGAGAGGTGGCTCAACGGTTAAGAGCTCTGGCTGCTCCTCCAGAGGACCTGGGTTTGGTTCCCAGTTCCCTCATGGTGGCTCACAACCATCTGTAACTCCAGTTCCAGGGGATCTGATGCCTTCTTTTGGCCTCTGTAGGCATCAGGCAGACATGTGGTGCAAAGAAACACATGTAGAAAAGCACGCATACACATAAAAATAAATAACTCTTGTGCACACACAACTTATGGTCATGGCCCCTAGGATGGACCCGCTTTTTCACAGGGGGTCACATATCAGATATTTACATTACAATTTGTAACAGTAGCAAAATTATAGTTATGAAGTAACAATAAAAGCAATTTTATGGTTGCGGGTCCCCACAACGTGGGGAACTATATTAAAGGGTCACAGCATTGGGAAGGTTGAGAACCACTGGTCTAGGACCCAATGGTCTCATAGCTAAGTTTTATGCAGAATTTGTAGGGGAGATAATTCCAAAGTTCCATCATTTTCTCCCCCCCCAATCCAGGCCTTGTGCCTGCGTAAGAGAGTGGCCATGAACTTCATCCCTGGCATCTAAAGCTGGTTAACTGTTCCACCTAACAGGAAAAAGAATCCTTCCATTTTATCAAAGCATCTTCATTGCAGCACCAAACCAATCAAGCAAGGCTCCAAGAGAGATAAGACTAAGTTTCTGTGAGAACCTAAGAGTTAAACACTTCAGGTTTGCAAGCATATGACCCTTGTTCCAACCTTTCAATTAAATAGGTTATATAGTGATATGCAGTCCGTCTTTACTTACAGACATTGAAATCTAAATCTGATATAGTGTCAACTATTTTGAATTTTGTCACAGCCACTGTTTAAAAAAAAGTAAAAAGCAGGGGCTGGAGAGCTGGCTCAGGAGCTAAGAGTGCTTATTCTTCTTGCAGAGGTCCTGAGTCCCATTCCCAGCACCCACACAGTGCCTCACAGCTGCCTGTGACTCCAGATCCAGGGGATCTGCCGCCCTCTTCTGGCCTCAGTGGGCACTAGGTGTGTATGTGGTGCACATACACACACATACATAGACAAAAGATCCATTGATATTAAAAAATAATTAAAGTAAAACCATTTTTATAACGTATTTTTTAATTGAATCTTTGGGTATTTCACATTCCACTCTTCTCCCAGTCCTTGCATATCTGCCCTTCACCCTGGTAGCCTCCCCCAACAAAAGTTAATGAAAAATAATAAAAAAGAAAACATCTTATCAACCCCTCTGGGCAACGACCTGCTCCTCCGTCACCTGCAGTCTTCTGCGCTTGTGTCACCCCATCCTCTGTCCCCCGCATCTCCGTCACATACGCATTCTCTGGGGTGGCACTGAAGTTGCAGTGTGTCACACACAGTGTACCCTTTTGCCTAAGCACCTTTACTTGAGAATATTCATTGCAATGAATCACTAGGCTAGTTCAAGACCTCTGGCTTCTGCTGCAAAGTCAATACTGGACCGTCATAGAGACTCTGAAATATCCTGCTGTTGCCCTGATCTGTGGGGGATCTTGGCAGCTATGGATCCACATGCCTGGCCCCTCATGCCTTCTAACAGTTCCTAAATGGGGAAGATGCTGTGGTGGGCCAACCCAAAGCCCTGGATCTGGGCCTGGGTGGTGGTTGAGTTGGTCAGCTTGCCAGGTTTCCCACAACCACAACACCAGAGACGGCTCACCCTCTGTCCAGGTGAGGGGCACTGCCAGCTCTCCTGCAGCAGCCAGAGAGGGGTAGGGACAGCTCTCCCAAACCCAAGGCATCAGGCTGGCTTGCCCATACCTTGCTACCAGGGCCAGTTCTCTCACGCTGCTCCAGTAGGGTCAGCTCTCACACAAGCATTACACAAGCTCTCACACGACTCTCCTGTGCTCATGACATCAGGGCCAGCTCTCCCGTTTCCACAGCAGGGCCTGCTCTCCCACGCAGCCCATGGGAGGAGTAGGACCAGCTCACCCATGCCCACACCATCAATGTTCTCCACTTCCCCCGTGAAGGATAATGCTGGCTCTCCCATATTCAAGCCACCAGGGCCAGCTCTCCTGTGCCACCCCAGGGAGGGCTCTCCCACACCATTGGGGCCAACTCTCCCAAGCCCATGTCACCACTGGTACTGCATTGCATACCCCAGGCATCCTCAGCCTTTCGTGGTAGCACAGGTCACTGACATCAACACAGACCCCGGCTGCATAAGTACCATGGACCCAGACATGGCTGTTGGCTGCAGCAGGGGCCCAGACATCACGCGGTCTCAGGTGGCTGTGCAGGGCTCTCATGTCAGAGTGTTCCTCACTGCCATTGTACCTTCAGTCCTGCCTTTCTTCTCCGCTCACAGAATTCTCAGCTCCTCTTTCTCTCCCGTTTCTCCGTGACATATCTGCTTGCTTCTTCCTCTCCCGTCTCTACCATATTCTCCTCGTTTCCCTCTGCTGTGCTGGCCCAGCAAGAGATGGACACTGTAAAAAAAGGTCACATGAACAGTAGGCTAGACTTGACTCATGGCCGTATTTTTTGGTGACCTTGGCAATAAGACAACCTCATTATTGATTACAGAACCAAAAATATGGAATGATACATTGCAAAGTAGAATCCAGAAATGTGTCCAAAGAACAAGATATCAAGAGTAAAATAAAGAGCTGAGTGCAGCAGTAACATCTATAATCCTTGCACTTGAGAAGCTAAGCCAGGGGGATTGTTATTAATTCAAGGTTGGACTGGGCTGCTCAGTGAGTTCCTGGCCAGCCTGGGCTACCAGAAACTGCCTCAAAATCCCCCAAAACAAATAAGAACACGTAGGTTTGTTCTAAGCATGGCTCAGCATCTAACACAGGGTAACATCGTCAAGTTTTCTTCTTTTTCCTACTTGATTTTGTGCTGTGCTTTTTGCTAGGAGGCCACCCACTTCCTCAATATTTTCAACTTGGCTCACCATATATCTGCCTTCGGTATTGTATGTCACCTTTTTGTTAGTTATAGTTTGTCCTTGGGTAATTTCACACACGTGCACAATGCACACTGGCCACTCTCACTCTCCCCGGCTTGTATCTCACCACCATCCTCGCCATTCCACCTCGGCCTACAAATCTCTCACGTTCACGTCTGTTCCTTTTGTCATGTGATTCACTGGGTTTAACCAGAGCCTTCTGCGTGGTCATGGGTTTGGAGCTATATGTAGGAACCACCAGGCTCAACTGTGTGTACACAACCGGAGACAGACTCGCTCACCAGATAACACTACTTTAGCAACAAAAGGTATGTTCCTGTGAGCACCCACTTCCAAGACTGTTGACAGGGCCAGCCTTATGTGAGCCCAGAGCAGGTAGCCACCCTTGTGAGTTAAGTGCAATGGATCTATCAAATCCAGAGAATGGCAGTTTGCAGTCTTCCACCTTCTTCTTCCAGCTCTTATGTATACTTCCTGCCTCTTCCTTCATCCTTAAAGCTCCATGAGCATCAGAGGAGGAAGTGTAAATGTCTTGTCTAGGGCTGTTATTCTCAGCTTCTTAGGCTTCCAGGAATCTCTGCATTCACTGCCATTCCTTGTAAGGAGAAGCATTTCTTATTAAAGCTAGGAGTATCTTTGTCTGTAGGTAAAAACGTAGCTGTTTAGAAGGTAATTTGATGCTATGTCAGTTTAGGTAAACAACGGTAATAAGTTCCCTCAACTATGACCCGAAGCCTGGGTTGTTAGTTCAGCTTACAGTATCAGCCATTGTCCCCTCACCCCACCATGGGATAAGCCTCAAATCCAAACAGGCCAATTGGTTACCCCCATAACAGTTAAGCCACTACTGTACAGGTGGACACATCTTGCCTTATGGTTGGCCCATGGTTCACAGCAGGACGAGACTAACAACAGCTTCCCCAGCAGCCCACACAGTTCCCTCCCACACTTGAAAGGCCAGCCAGCAGGGAGGAAGAGCTTTGTTGGGTCTAGTTTACTTCCTCTGTCTACTGTCGAAGGCAGTGGTCCCTAACTCTCCTAATGCCGAGACCCGTTAATACAGTTCCTCATGCTATGGTGACCCCCAACCACAAAATTGTTTTTGTTGCTATCTGATAACTGCAATTTTGCTCCTGTTATGAACTGTAATGTAGACATCTGTGTTTTCCAGTGACTTTAGGTAACCCCTGTGAAAGGGTTGTTCAGGAACCCACTGACCCATAGTTTGAGAACCACTGGTCTAAGGTATATGGTATCTTCTGAAATATAGTCTTCTCTGGTTCTGGTGAGCAAACATGGTGCTATTATTTTGGGGGGAGCTTTCGAGTCCCCCTGACCAGCTCCTGTGGCATCATCTCCTGCCACTGGAGACTGTAGTCAGCAACCCACTGCTTCTAGGAACTGCTTCCATCCAGCCACGCAGAGTAACTCCCTTCCACCCCTCTTATGCATTTTTATTCGGGTTACAGGACTGCAGGTTTCCACATGGCTACTCCTCCCCTACCCCACCCTCTCATTTGCTCAAGGACAGTCTAGACCCTTCTTAGGGCACTGAGAGATTCATTCCAGTTCCTGGGGTTTCTGACTTGGATAAAGAGCAGCATTAGGCTCCAGCCAGCGGCAGCGAGGAGCCGCCAGCAAGGCTCTAGTATGTTCCTTCACGCTCAAGTACAGTCTATGCGGCATCTTCCCACATGCACCCCGGCCAGGGCTCACCAGATAGCCCTGCTTGCTAATGGTACCTCCGTTCTCATTGTCATTCTGTGATCAGGGAGGCTGGAGAGCTGGTGCCAGGGTAACTGAGAGCAGTTCGCAGCGGGCCAGCTTCAGCTGTAGCCTTTATTAGGACCTTGACTACCTTAGTATTGTGATTGTGAAAGAGGAAGTTTCTTAGATGCTGCCTGCCTACAGCAGGTCCCCTCTCCTAGTAATCCACTAGTAGAGATCAAACCTGGGGCTCTCATAGACGCTAGGCAAGCATCTGTCGCTGAGTGATATCCCAATTCCTGCCCCACCTAGGTAGGTAGGACCTCCCTAAGTTTCTCAGGTTGGCCTAAGTACAAGGGATTACAGGGCCATGGCACCAGGCCCAGAACCTTCTAGTTTTTAAGTTTGGAAAAACTTTCTAGTCCAGGTAGAAACCTAGAAACTAAAAAAACATAGCTACAGCCATGCATTGTGGTTAACGATTGTAATAATCTCAGTTTTGGGGGTGTGGATACAGGAGTTCCAGATCAACCTGAGCTACATAGCAAGACCTTGTCTCCCCGCCCCAATAAAAACAATAAAAAAGAAAAAGATGTATCAAAGGGGGGGGAAACAGATGGAAGGAATTAAAAGGAGTTGATAGATGAAGCTTTCATGTCTAGAGTTAGAGAGCTGTCACAGAGTAAAACCACAACTAAATAGGAGATCAGCCAAAAAGACTTGGATAGAGGAGCAAATATTTTATCAATCAACCAAGGAAAATGTGCTCAATCTGTTCTGAGAATGCAAAGTGAGGTGACTGTGAGGAATCCTTTCCACCCTTTGAATAGAGAGGAATCTTGCAGAAGTGTGATAATAAGTACTGTTGGCAGAGATGTGTGTTCTCAGACATGGATGGCAGAGGAATGGGAGTTAGCACAGCTTTAAAAAGAGCAGTTTGAGCCTGGCGTGGTAGTACACGTCTGTAATCCCATCATTTGGGAGGCTGAGGCAGAAGGATAGAAAGTTTGAAGCCAGCTTGGGCTACAGAGTCTAGAAAACAAGTCAGTAATCTGGCACCATCTAATGAAGTTTAATAAGACTGGGAGCCAAGGGAAGCCAAGGAGGCTGGAATTCACAGACCACAGGGAAGAAGAAAGCTGCAGAGAGAGAGAGGTTTGTGGATCTCTAGATGATCTCTCCTTGAGTATTCGGTAGAATGCCATCCAGACCTGCCTGAAACCTGAGGCCAGGTGGGAAGAATAGTTGCCGAGACAGTGTCTTATGCCCACACAATCAGGTACAGCATCCAGAACAGGTGTTTGGGACATTGGACAAAGCAGGGTTTCTTAAACTTTTCTGCTCATAACCCTTTCCACCCCACAAATGTATAGGTGACTCTGGATATTAGGTATTTAAAAGTAGATATATGAAGCAGTTATTATTGATAATAAATCATAAAGGAATTTATTTTAAGTAAATGTAGATGTATATACATATTTTATCATGTATTAAAGATGAATCAAATTTGTATGCTAGCAAGATGGGTGTGCTTATTTAGTTTTGCGTAAGGAATTAAATCTTGGCAGAATATTTGACACTGTGGGATGAGGAGCATTATCAATGCTCTCCAGAGTTGGTCAATATTTTGATCTTATAACCATGAATTTACATGAATAGCATTGCATAAATGCATAGCACAAAACAACAAAAGTGTGTTTAGGGATCTTTCAGAAATTATTGGAAATTCTGCCTTCATCTCAAGCCAAAATTCATCTGATGACTTAAAAAAAAAGAAAGTCAAGTCAGTCACTGAAATAGCAATTCCCCAAATTAAATATTCTAACATAATGTAGTTTAAAGATATATTAAATTGATACATGCTGAAGAACGACTGTAGGATAGTATTCAGTATTTGACTTTGTTTCTATGAGAGCAGAAAACTCCACATGTACAGTAAAGACACTGCAGCTCCGAGCACACTAGTCTATGCTACTGAGCCTAGGTGTCCTGGTCTGTGTTTGTTGCTGTTTCCTGGTGATGCTGCTGGTGACTGGATATGGGGACACATATTTTCAGGCTCTTAGTGACTGATCCAAAAAATTGAAAATCACATAATTGTGAAAGAAGCAAGATAATTTCACTTGGAGCAAAGCAACAGTGCAAGTTTTGGAGAGATACACAGTCAAGATTGACAGTGGGCATTTGAGTGAGGACACAAGGGCCTTGGTTATTATTTGGGGTTTCTTTTCACGGGGTTCAAGAGGAGGGGCTGGTTTGATAAGTCACCTAACGGTTTTTCTACTGAACATGTCCCTTCCCCTAATACATCTGACTTTAATTATGTACATGCCCAATTATATATAGGCATAAGATGGTAAAGCAGTTCAGGCCAGATTGGCGCCTCTACTCTTCATACCTAGACACTTTGGGAATGTATTTGAATAGACAGTGTCTCGTGTATAACATCGAGCAAAGATGGGCGTGTATGTAGTCTGATACAGGTGGGTTCCAGGGGGTTCTGAGATAACCAGGTGCGTTGTTTGGAGATGGATATGTGTGCATAATTTATACAGGTGAAGGAACTGGGCTGCCAAGTGCATTACTACAAGAGAGGGGTGTCTGCACAACCCCAAACCAAATGGGTATCCCATGGTACTATCTCCTACGCTCGCCTGCCACAGAGTCTGGGTGTCTGTAGTTGGAAGCACACAATGTTGCATGTTCAGAACCAAAGATACAGTGCAATGCATCATGGATAAGCTCTGTCAAAGTACCTTGAAATTTGAACTAAGTTTTGGCCATTGTACTTTTTCCTCTTGCAAA